TGAAAATTTTATAAGTATTTAAAATATGTCAACAGTATGTAGTCTGATTTTATATTAGATAATTGCTTAATTTCTCTAAATCTCAGATGAGTCTGATAAGCAGAAAATATTAGTTCTGTTATTTCATTCTGGTAATTGGAACTTAAGCATTAATATTAAAAATAAGTTTGCACTTAGAAATTGTTAAGATTGAATGTATTTTATATATGGAAATTATCCAAAATTCTGCTTTCTTAATTCCATGGCCTATCACTTCTCTGATTTAATTTGTCACTACTCTGCCAATAGTGTCACTTCTCTGATAACACATTTTCCCCTGGTGCTTATAAAATTCAAAAAAATGAAAAAGTCTTCATTCCCTTATCATTACAATGGCAAAAATAGTGCCAAACAGTGATATTATTAATATTGAATTAAACAGATAATATTTCCTTCAGTGAAACAAAAAAGTCAAATACCATATATTCACTCAGTTGCCAAACTGCTCTTCAAGTGTGACAACTATGGCAAATATCACCTATATGAGGCAATTTATGGGGAGGTTTATGTTCAGAAATGGACTTAGTAGGCTGTTACAGTAACGGTAACAGTATAAGTGGCAAATAATAAAAGAATGATTGTCTTTATCTGTCTAATTCACAAACCAACAAAGTTATTTATCTAATCATTGGTAGTTTCTAACATATGATTCCAGGATCAACATAGTAATTTTTAATTATTATGGATGAGAAGGAGGCGAGAGAAGTTTGTCAGGATCTCTAAGTGACAGACGTGAGAATTTATGTATGTATTATGTAAATAAAATAAACAACATTTTTTTATAACATAAAAATGTATTTACTTCCAGTAGCTAGTAAAAGGCGACTATGGGAAAAGTCAGTAACATCTTATAGTTTCCAAAAGCTGACGGTGTAACAAATTCGTTTATGCCAGGTATAAAATACCAAGACTGAAATGTCTGATGCAGCGATTGTCAATTCTCCTACTATGCATGACAATTAAAGCAAACCTTCACTGCAATGGGAGAGGCCCATGTCCAACAGTAGACTTTAAGAAGAAAGAAAGAAGAACGACATTAAAACAGGCAAGAAAAGATGTATCTTCTGAAACAGAATCCTAGTCTAAAAAGAACCCAGCACCTCGTAAATTTATACTTAAACAAACTAAATGAAATGTTTAAAAATGTATGGGGCCTGGGCCAGGTCCTTGTACACTCTACTCAAAAATAGTGAAACACATTTTAAACGGTTCTCAACTGTCCTATTATTTTATAATGGCTTTGTTTGCTGGTAAAGCATAGGAAAATACACATGAAATATACACATAATACTTGGTTTACATGTGACAACTGACAGTTCTGTTTCTATGATTAATTGCCGCTTTAGGGTTTATTGTCATTGTCAGAGAAACCTATAGACAAATTGACGCCTTCTTTCGCATTCACATTCGCACACGAAAAAGATAGATTTATGCATACATCTTGCATAAAAATGAGACAGAGCGGTGTGATTGTTTGTCCCTTTCTCCGTGCCGGTTTTTTTTAAAGCAAAGTGTAGTTTGCTAAACAACTTTGACAGTTTGTAATGATCCAGTTTACAAGTTCGTTTAAGTGAGAAAAAAGTGTTTTGTGAGCTTAAGATTGGTGAATCTTGTACATATCAGTTCTTAGAACAATTAAAAATTTAATCTAAATATGTTTAAAAGTCATAAAGATTATTGTATAACCTAAAACTATGTTATCGTCCCTTTCTCACTCGAGGCCATGCTAATCATTAGTCTATAGGTTTCTCTGTCTATGGTCTATATGCACAGAGTAACTAAATCAGTGCGACACCAAGTTCAAAGTCGATAAAAATAATTGATAAACATCAATTGTTTACCATGACAGGATACATTTAAATTAATTATCTGTATTTTTCCTAAATTCTACAGATTTTTCTCGTTTGTTCCATGTTTTCTCAAAATAAAACTATAAAATAATATAAAACTATAAAACAATACAATTAATTATGTATAATTTACTGATTGAACGAAAATAGAGATAACTATAGTGATGACTACACTGATGAAGCAGTAACCGCCGCAATACAGAAATTTAAAGGGTTCAGCATGTAGAATTCTTTACAAGAGGAACTGCAGCTAAGAAAATTGTATTACACACTTTAAGTTGACTATGCAAACTTTTCTTGAACATGGGGCTTTTAAAAAAAGGTCTTAATGTAGTGAAAAATGTTGACTGAAGTACTAAATTGAACAAGATGAAAGATACAACATCTACATTGATTTCAAATGCTATTTTACTTATCAGTCCACATATAATTAGAAGAAATGCAAACTGTATAATTTTCCATTTTTTTTTATAGAATAGGATGACAAACGAGCACACAGCCCACCTGATGGTAAGCGGTAGCTGTGGCCCATAGACATCTACATCTACCCCCGATTACGAATCAAAATGCAGATGCGTTGTCATCCCTGAGGACTTAGGTGGAATACCTCGTTTCCAGTAAATAGGGCTCCGGTTCTCTACACTCACTATACGAAACACAGCAGCATTAAGCTACTATTTGATGCTGGTATTCTGTGAGAGTGTGGTCTTTCCCCGGTCGAGCCGACCCATTCGTGCTACAACTATACTACTAATATAACTGCAGCATGGCTCTACCATGTAAAAATACAAGTGCATAAAGTAAATACATGTACATAAACGTCATGGGGTCATTCTCAATGGAGACTAGACATCTGTGCAAGATAGGTTTATAGTGCCTGAATGTATGCACAAGCACAGCTACACTCTCTATTTCCTCACTTTCATAGTCCGATAGGATTGCAAACAACACAGCCAGAGAGAGATGAGCAAAACTTTACATGCTTAATCCATTTAACACAAGCTTGTTTCAGTAAGACTAGTTCTGAGTATACCCTATTTCATATTTAGCCGATGATATATTTTATTTTGTTAGTCTATTAAGTTTGAGTTATATCTTGTGTGATCTAGTTACGAGTAATACAATTGGTGTGATAATATTCTATTTCTTGCCACTAATTTACTGCGTGCAAATATTTATATACTGTAACTGTTAGTAAATCCCATAACTGGTTTTCCATTACTAGCATGTTACTTTCTATGAGCTGTAGAGCTCCATTGTTCGTAAGCCATGGGTTATCTGATTAAACAAATAGGGAGGAAATGACTACAAAACTAACTCATTGCAATTTTCAGACAAAAATCTCAAAACTTTGTAGAAGTCAACATCAACATCACATTATGTACCACAATCATGAAAATAATTTTAATTATACAAACAATGTGTGAAAATCTGTTTCCCTCTCCACTGTTGGTGATAATTGTTGCAACAAAAAAATTATGCTTACCCTTCATAAAACCTAACCAGGTTTAATGCTTTTAAGAATAAAATGTACAAAATCATTTTATTAAAATAATTAAGATGTTTAAGAGAAAAATCAAACCATCATGATTCAATTGACTCAATTAAATTCAACTGAAAGGATTTCAGGGTGTTAAGTATATAATAATCATTTCTTTATTGTTTGTCAACATAATTTATAAAGAGAGAGATAATGGAAGGAAAAAATACCATAGAAGTATAATAATGTTAGTTTTTCACATGGTCTCTTACACAAAATTAAGTAGCTTTCACAGTAATATTGCATTACTTTTTTCATGTTTTTCTTATTTTCGAAACCAAAACAGTGCATTACCTTTTAATGCGAGTTGTATTGTTATAATCAGCTATCAAACCTCTACCAAATACCACACCTTATAAGCACGGCACTTTGATATTGCGACTGGCGACCATCTTAGTGACGTAGTCGAATTGTCAGTACCATTCGCAAGGTCAGCCAACGCTTGCGCGTATAGAGTACCTCTAACCATGTGTTTTCATAGCTTTTTATTTTCATTATCCTGTTTTATTTTTATTGTTAATTTTTGTTATTGTTATCATACTTATTTTGTTACAATGAGTAAGGAAGTAACTAACAGCCATGCTCGTGAAATGATTATTAAAGTGGACAATTATTTTGTAAAGGAGAAAGAAAAAATTTATAATTAAATACCTATAAATATATGTATATAATATAATATAAATACCTATAACCAAAGGTTATTAACATTTTTCACCAGAGGTGGCAACACCTCACACGAATAGATAGATAGATAGATAAAAGTGTTTATTTGTTTCTCCAATTACACACGTAAATTCAGTGTAAACTAGATATACAAATCAAAGATTTATGAAAAAAAAATACATAACTTAAGATCTAAATGTACAAGTGTGTTGTAGTTTAGCAAATGGCTCATAGCCAGCGATTAATATTGCTCAGAGGGCAAACACTGATTTTCGGCTATTACCCTCTAGGTGGCGAGAAGAAAATGAGCACAATAGTACAATCAGAAAGAAAGAAAGAAAAAACTATTTTTTGCACATTAATATTATTGTAGTGTAAATATTTGTGAATGATGTGTCCTTTCTGCTCTACGATTTATATCTAGGGCTTAATTTAGTAAAAATTACGGAAAAGATGTGTAAGACTGCGTACCCAATTAAGGCTAGTACCTAAATGACTTAGCCAACCATGATGTGTTAGTAAAAGAAAAAAGAAAATGCCATGGTTTATAGCTGGCAAAGGAAGTGTTTGGTTATACCTTGTTTTTGTTTATCTAGAAGATATCTTTTGAATTTATTTATTTTTTAAATTTTATTGAAAATAAGATTAATGTTTTTGTTGTCTGTACTTTTTTGCGGTTGGTGATGTCATGCAGCTCTTATTGTGACAAGGTTCCATCACAATATCAATGTGCGGGGGTTATACTCCTAATTCCTGCCAAGGGATTGTAAATCCAACCCTTATGTATTAAATTATCTATTATTAAATAATAAACAATTACATTTAATAAAAGTTATTGGAGATGAAAGTAATAATATACCTGCTTAAAAATAATCTTTAATTCTAATGGTAAATAAGTAGCCACTTACCTTAAACGAACTGTGAACTAATGTCTCATCCAAATCTATGACCATACACTTTTTATGCATGTCCTGATGTCTCACTGGTGGTAATAATGGCCGGGGTGCATGGTCTGACATGACCAACAATGGGGGCGAAGCCCGACCGTCAATACTGTTCGCACCATTGCTGCCGGGCGGACCCTTTCCTCGTCCGCCTTTCCAACAACACAGAAGAGATCGTAAGAACCCTCCGCCGCCACTCGATTTTTTGCTGCCCAGAGGCGTGGATCCCGAAACAGGAGTTCCATCCCCATCGTTATGTTGGCCGCTGGGCGTAGATCCTAAAACAAAATACTTGATTTGAAGTCTCCGTTATTGGACGATAGATACGTGCGTAAGTATTTAACATTCTAGCATTGCAGTTCTCAAGGTTGCTCCTCAGAAAGTTGGCGCGGTCACACGTTCTATTTGTTTACCTCGTGTTATGAACTCTCACAATGAAACAATCGAACGGTAATATCTTCCACAAGACACTTGTTTAATTTAGTTACACTTAGAAAATATTTTTACATCACAGATAGGTAACACTATACGCTCCAATTCGATGGCAGTAGGTAACAGGTGTAACTCGGCTTAGATTTACCTCTGTCGGATCCATAGTTGTTTAATTGTTCGTCATCCCGTGACACTTGAGTTATAATGGACGATGCGTCCATTTAAACATTTGTTTTTAGCCGTAATACAAATGGCAACGGAGTTTTTGTAAAATTTCAACACCATAAAACTATTTTTTATCTCCCTTCTATCTTACAAAATGGCAGGCAGGCACTAGGCAAATACCACAGAGTATATAATATATACAGTAATATAAGACAGAGTACTTTCAAATACCAACCAACCAACCATTATCATAATACAAGTATAATGTAGCCAATGTAAAAACAAATAGTTATTTATTAACTTACCTACATCTCTTTTCACCATTTAGCCACCTATATTTTTATGCGAAACAAGAACATAACAATATAAATGAAAACATAATCATTGCCAAACATTGGTTTAATTCTGTTCTAAAAAGCCTATTACAATATTGTACGTTTCTTTGAAAATAAAAAAATGACACTCTAGTATTTATAAAATCCTGATATATAAGGTAAGCTGTAGTAACAATCAGCTGGGTATATACTACGAGTACCAATTGGAAAAAAAAATCATTTCGATTGGCGGCATCATACTGTTCAATGAAAAGCCTACATCAATTATTAAAACTACTGTAAGAAGTGATAGCCTAATAAATCATGCAGGAATTCGTTGGATGCATGTTTAAGCCTCAGGATCGTCAATTTTATGGCATTCATTGGAAGAGGCCTGTATTCAGCAATGGACCTGTGAAAGCCTATAATAATTATGATAAAAAAATAAATGCAATAAAGCTAAAAGTATATTTTAATTAGATTTCAAAATAACTATTAATGTAAAGTGAATAAAATATATTATCTTATGTAAAAAATATTTGATATGAAGTCGCAGTATTTTTTTTGTATATATATATATTGTCGAAAATATGCTTGTTATTTTTTCAAAGTTACAATGTATATACATTCCACTGCTGGGCACAGGCCTCGCCCTCATTACTGAGAGGGTTTTAGGTTTAGCAGCGCCAATGTGTATTAGCGAACTTCACATGTCTTCGAAATATTTTTTCATCTTATTCTTCAGACATGCAGGTTTCCGCACGATGTTTCCCTTCACCGCTGAACACATGGTAAATCAGCACCTTAAAATTGCCATTAACAATTTCATTGATGCCGGCGGGGATCAAACCCAGTTTACTCACGTTCTGTTATATTTACAGCAAGCGTTAACTTTGAGCTACCACGGCGCTGTGATTATTATATTTAAAAAAATTATTTGAATATTATCTGACACGATATACGAGGCTGTATGGTCATTGATCATTGCCTGTTCCGAAGAAGACTTATAGTCGTAGACAGAGAAACCTATAGGCAAATTGACGCCTTCTTTTGCATTCACACTCGAAAAAGATAGATTTATACATACGTCTTGCATAAAAATGAGACAGAGCGGTGTGATTGTTTGTCCCTTTCTCCGTGCCGGTTTTTTTACAGCTTTGACAGTTCGTAGCGTTCTAAGGAGTTTACAAGTTACTTTAAGTGAGAAAAAAAGTGTTCTGTGAGCTTAAGATTGGTGAAACTTGTTCGGTTCAGTTCTTTCTCAGTCGATACGCTCTTGACAGAGCGGTCGTGGTCGTCACTTGGGTGTTGTGGCACGCTCTACAATACGCCTCCGCTCCTCCCTAACAGCTGCCTTTCTTGTGCACTCATGCAACGGGACATCCACCGAAGCCCTCACCTGGTCTGTCCATCTCATAGGCGATCTGCCACGCGCTCTAGTGCCCTCTACTCTTCCCTGGACCACTAGACGTTCAATCGAGATATCATTACGTCTAGACACGTGACCAAAGAAAGTGAGTATGCGAGCTTGCACAATAGATGACAGACGTTGCTTGATGCGGAGTTCTTCGAGAATGGACTTATTGGTCCGGAATTCGGTCCAGGACACTCTCAGCATTCTTCTCCAGCACCACATCTCGAGAGCGTCTATTCTCTTCTTCTCACTTTCTCGCAGGGTCCATGTTTCCGAAGCGTAGAGGAATATAGGGAACACAAGCGCTCTAACTAACCGGGTCTTAGTGGCTTTTGTTATGTTACGGTTCCTCCATATCTTCCGCAACTTATCCATGGCTGTCCTAGATATCGCCATACGTCGTTTTATTTCATCTATGCAGCCCCCGTTGCTCGAAATTAGCGCTCCTAAATAAATGTATGATTTGACTACTTGACATTTCGCGATTTGTGTCACTTCCGGCGAGTTATTGTTGATGCGATCGACAATCATAACTTTAATTTTGCTGCGATTGATCCGAAGGCCGAATTCAAGACTGACGTTTTCCATCCTTTGTAGGAGTTCTTCCATATGGCCGATACTAGTCGCAAATAGGGTAGTGTCATCCGCGTATCGTAAGTACGAGATTTTCAGCCCTCCAATTGAGATTCCATCAGTCCAGTTCTCGAGAGTGCGTCTCATTATTAGCTCTGTGTAGATGTTAAATAGAAGTGGGGAGATTATACATCATTGACGAACGCCAGCACTAGGATGAAAGTGATCTGACAGCTTGTCGTCTGTTCTTACGGATGCAGTACCACCTTCGTAAAGACACCTGAGCAGATGTACCAGATGTTTTGGTATGCCCATTCTCAGCAGGGTGTCCCAAAGTTTAGGCCACTTGACGGAATCAAATGCCTTGGAAAAATCCACAAAGCAGATGTATGTTGCCTTATTGTACTCGCGGGATTTCTCAATAATTTGTCGCACGATAAGTATTTCTCCCTTACCCATCCTCTAACAAAGCCAGCTTGCTCTGGAGCAATCTCCTTGGACAGGTAGGATTTCAGGCGCTCGTTTAAAATCTGCAGCAAAATTTTTTCAGTTCTTAGAACAATTAAAATGTTTATCTAAATATGTTCAAAGGTCATAAAGATTATTGTATAACCTATAACTACGTTATCGTCCTTTCTCACTCGAGGCCACGCTAATCATTAGTCTATAGGTTTCTCTGTCTACGCAAATTTACACCTTCTTTCGCATTCGCACACGAAAAAGATAGTTTTATGCATACGTCTTGCGTAGAAATGAGACAGATCCAGTGCCGGATTTTTTGTTTAGCAAACTACACTTTTCTAAACAACTTTGACAGTTCGTAGCGATCTAAGGAGTTTACAAGTTGGTTTAAGTGAGAAGAAACTGTTTTGTGAGCTTAAGATTGGTGAATCTTGTTCAGTTCAGTTCTCAGAACAATTAAAATTTTTATCTAAATATGTTTAAAAGTCATAGATTATTGTATAACCTAAAACTACGTTATCGTCCTTTCTCACTCGAGGCCACGCTAATCATTAGTCTATAGGTTTCTCTGTCTACGCTTATAGTCAACCAAATCTAAGAAATACGTTTTGACAGCAGTCAGACTTATTGCACCAAGCATGCCAACCAAAGATGGAAACGTACAATATTCGATTCTTAAAAAAATTGAAGACGATTATTTAGAGTTAATAATCATTTACAGTTTGTTGTTTTTGCTGTATTGTATTTGTTGTTACTGCTTATTTATAGAGGCACAATAATTATAAAAATTTAAGATTGAAACTAGATTAAAAATAAATTTATTCAATCACACTCAGTACAACTAGTTTAGCTGTCGTTGTTTCGATTAATTATTATTTGATTTTAAATAATAAGGCGACAGTAGCCTAATGGCAGGGCGCGGACCGCGAACTCAAAAAGGTCGTGGGTTCAAATCCGCCATTTGACTACTGGCGTGAACCACTCGTAACACAAACAATTTAAGCTTACTAGGAGTGGTTAAGGGGAATATTAGTAATGTTTAGAGCATTGTTAATATTATTTAAAAAAAGAATGCAGTCAAAATTAATCTCTCTTTAAAAGTTATCCATAATCAATTTTTTTGTTTTTTCTACCACTTTTACCCAATCATCATTTGCGACATGGCCACATGCTTCGACGAACATATAAGAAACAGTCCAAAAAGTTAAAACCGAGTCACAAAATAAGAAGACAAGCTCAAAATCACAAAATTACGCACAGTAAGCTCCCGAAATGGCGGGAGATCAGTGGTTTTTTTCAGAGTGGCTTTCATTTGTTTTGCCTAGACAATTTTAAGTTGACACAATAAAAAAATAAACTTGTTTTATTCATGATTCATGTAATTTAAGGAATTTTAAAAATAAAAATTTAATTAAACGAATATTACATTAAAAAATTAATGACTCGATTATTCGAATATTTTTAACGATTATTTGAATATTTTTGCCGATTTTTCGCATAACAATGAATTTTAATCGCCCAACACTACGGTAAGGCACACAGCGACATATCATTGAAACGACGTCAGTTAAAAAAGTTGATACTGGTTATTTTTTTAATATTTTCATTTTTTTGAAAGATTATACCTAATTTAAATTAGTAATAAAAAAGTAAACACGTTGTGATGAAATATAGATAACTTCACAATTCTTTAGATTTACCTAAAAGGTTATTTTAAATCGTGTGAGTACGCTTGTGCAACGTTACTGCGGAATGGTTAATGTGAAACGTCAAAAAGTATTTCTTAAATTTGGTTGACTATAATTTGGTAATTTCGAGCAAAGAGAATATAATCACTATGTTATAGAGGCGGAACTTCCTTAGTAAAAGTAAATGTATGAAAAGCGTGGAGAGCGGATTGAAGATAATTTATTGAAAAGGCGCTAAGCTACTCTACCACATCAAGACATGACATTTAATTTTTGACAAACAGTGCTGACAATATAGGCAAGGCAAATTTTAATAGAGCTGTAAATGTCTATCCTCGATTAATTTTGTCGATATAATGTTCATCGATACATTGTTTATCGATATTTTATATAATGAAAGTTAGATGTCTTTACTGAATGCTTTATGATATATAATTTTTTTTACGTGGGGATTGCATAAAATGCCGATGAGGATAAGAAATTAATGTATTTTACACACAGCACTTTGTAATTATGACTCTACAAATATTAGGTACAAAATATGTATAAAAACATAAAATAAACAACGCACAAATATATTAGTACTTAATTGCGTTAACTGCAGC